TATGAGATCGTTGCTCTTCAAAAGGTATCTTGTGTCTCATCTGGCTTTGTTATATCTAACAGCATATAGCTCACAGAAAATATTGTTTAACCAAGAAGCAAGATTGATTGTTTTAAATTTTACTCTTCTATGAAGGTGCCAATGATTTGAAATTTCAGAATTTCTAAATAGAAGATTTTAAGTGTCATAAATCTCATTGCAAAGGAGGGCTAGATTATTTGTCTCAACATCAAATTTTCATAAAGCAAATTTATTTATTTGGGGTGGCTTTGAAGGCGTTATCCCTTGACCCTGATACTATAGGGTCATACATGATAGCTCTGTGTTGCCACTGATGCTAATGAGTAATAAGCCCACAACAGTCAACAAAAGGAGGAAAAAAAGAGGTGAACTACCTCTGAAGAAAGATTGGTTTTTCATGTACAAAGTAAAAACAACAGTTAGTGGTTAATATACCTGGGATCAAAGGAGAAGTGATAATAGTTAATTCTCCTCTCAGTGCTGGCAGACTTCTCAAAAATGTTTCTATTTCATTCTGAATTTCTCTTAGTTCTTGAGCTGTGATTATGTTTATTTCAATGGACTGTTTAAAAAGGCCTCCCCTCAAAGTCACTTGCAAATCTTCAAATTCGAAATTGTAAACATCAGTGAAGAGTTGATCAATAAAAGCTTTCATTAATGCCTTCCTGTGCCTGGGTACAATTACCTTAATGCTGCTCAGATTTCTTTCATCAATTTTCTGTTTAATGGTATACAAACAGGCAGCCATGCTGGGACAGCTAACAATCTCAAATTCTTTCAAGAGAGCTGATAATCCATTGCCTGTTTCTAATTCACAATTATCTTGTTCTCCATCCCTTTCATAGCTGATGTTACTGCAACACATTATACAAAGAAACTTGGCCTTGGCGGCATGGTGGTACTGGACAGCATTCAAAGTCTTCAGTAATGTCTGATGGCAGTTTTTTTGAGAGTTCAATTTCAAACCAAAAAGATCAATCAAAACTGCTTCTGCCATCCTTGAAAGAATACTTTTGTGCCAAATCACCTGCAAATAAAAATTAGTATAAGAATATAAAATTATATAAATCCTCTTATAGTTACAACAGAAATTTGTGGTAGATTAAAAAAGAATAATTACATTGATTTTAAAATGTAACTAAAATAGTAAATCTAGTCCCCTCCAAGAAAAGCCAGTCTATTCTGTCACAAGAGAACCATGACAGTGAAAGCAAAGCCATCTTTTAATTCGTTTTGTGAAAATGCTGGTACATCTTTCCAGCAGCACAACAGTTCCTCTGTTTTGTTTACATAGAACTTTTAAGTAAGGAATTACTTGCTGAGTTTAGACAAAGTCCTGTTTTTAAATTGCAGGTTGTCAACCTGTGTGATATATCATTAGTCCTGACATGACTGTCATATTAGGTCTCATCCTTTCATATGCAGGGGCTTAAGTTCATGAAGCTAAATGGAGCTGCACGCGAAATTCGCCTTTTAAGATGATAAAAGCTGAGACGGCTAATAAGAGTTCCCCTGAGGATTTGCGCAGTACTCCACACTTAGCAATGACCACAAAAGCTATAGTGATTTGGACGAGACAGGCTTCCTCGCAACTTTCTTAATTCATTCTCCCCATCCAGCTTTGCTCACCTCCAGCCCAGCCCTCCCACCCCATCCTGCGGGTCTCCAGTGACCCCCTTTGGCTACGCCCTTTGGCCCAAGGTTTTCTCCTGCCGCTTCCCCTAACCTTCTCTCCCCATCGCTCGGGGCTCCCTCTGAGGTTCATTTAGCCAGTTTTGAGTGGGTGACTGTCCCCCTTCCCTGTTCATTGTGAAATTTCCGCCCAACGTGTGTCGCCCCCGGGTCCCTGTTCCTCCTGCCCACCTCGGCTCACGGGGCGCAGGCTGTGGCTCTGCACCTGCCCGTGCACCTCCACCGGCCGCTCACCGCCCATTCGGGACTTCCTGTAGGACAACGCGCACCAGAGGCGATTCGGGCCGCGCCTTCCCGCTTTTCACCTTCGGTTGCACACAGGTCTACAGCGACCTCTGTGACGATTTGCCGCCCCGACCCTCGTCCTGAGCCCCAACGAAATTGGGCAGCCGCGAGCGGGTCAACTGGAGTCGTAAGCTCGGCCCAGCGGCGACGACACCCGCCCCGCCTCACCTCACCCACCTCGCCCCGCCTCACCTCACCCACCTTGCCGCCGCCGCACAGATTCCCCGCCTGCCGGTCCCGGGATCCCAGGGGAAACCTGAAGGCCGGGGCCCCGCGGGCCAGCTGCCGGGAGGCGGGAGGGAGCTTGGGCAGGGCCGCCCGGCGTGCTTGGTGCGGACGCTGCAGGCCCAGCACGAGCGCTGGGGAATCCCGGGATGAGCCAAGCGCCGCGAGCCCGCTGCTGCCTCAGCAGTTCCGGGTCTAGGCGGCCTGCCGAGCCGGCACCCAGCCCCGCCGGCGTTAGAGGAACAGGAACCAGAGTCCCGCGAGGGCCCTCGGCTTGGAGCCAGGCGGGTTAGCGGGCGGGAGTGGGCAGGCCGAGTCCGGAAAGGGTCGCGAGGAGGCAGCTAGGGGCTCCGTCATGGGGGATGGGGCGGCGGAACGACCGAACCCGGGAGCGGGCGCGGGGCGGCAGGAGCTGCAGGTCTCCAGAGGGCACGGGGAGGGGAACTAAGGGCCCGGTTAGAGAGCGGGACGGAGGGCACCTTGAGGGGGCGGTGGGAATGGCGGGTCGCGTGAGGTGGGGCTGCCGGAGCCACCTCGCGACCAAACCGCAGTCTCCCTTCTGTTAACGGAAGCCGTTTCCCAAGAGAGCTGAAGTCCGCGCTTCCGGTCTCAGGGACGCCTCGAGACCCAGCAGCGTTGTCGGGACGCTGGGTTTCCTCACCGCAGCCCGGGACCAGTCCCTTGTCATGTTAGCTCTTGGCAGCTTGTCCCATGCAGGGCTCAAGTCAGGGGGCCTCTCGAGGAGATGTTTTTAGTGTTTTTTTGTTGTTCGTTTGTTTCCAGAAACAAGCTGTTGTCTCTCCTCCAATGCCTTTGTGCTGATTCTTGTTGACCAACACTCTTTCGAGCGCCTTCACTTGCGTTGACAACATGGATGACCTCTATGGCCTTTTAAAATATGTGCCACTAGCAGGACTTAAGTAAAAGGCCCTCATCCCTAACTAAAATCATGATAAAGGTGCAGTTTAGCATCCCTGAGCTGTCCTCCAAGAATATAACGTTCATTTATTTGAAAATAGCAGTTAGGACATGGAAAGCCAGTGTATGCCAAAGGGAAAAAATATCCGACTTTCCAAGAGTAAGAGAAATGGTGCTTCCTGAGGAACTGTTTATGATGAAACGAGAGGTCCTTTTTACATTTACTGTTGCTCATTTGGTAGGCGCTAAAGAACCTTTTGTCTCATAATCTCAGCTGGGGGTTTGGAAGAGCCCTCTGGAGTAGGCATGTTCTTGTGCTTGACTAGAGAATGGGAGCACTAACCCGGAATAGGAACCCACCCTTCAATAGCCCTAGCACCAGTTTTGTCAAAATTCGTGTTTTCTTTGGTCATTTGTTAAGAACCCCAAGCGGTAGATGGTACACGAAATCAGAAGGTGCACTCTGCCTTGAGTCTGTGTTAAATATCATTAGGTTGGTGCAAATGTAATTGCGGGTTTTGCCATTGACAAAGACCACAATTACTTTTGCACCAGCTTAATACCTCAAGCAAAATAGAGGTCTTTTAGTTACAAAGGTTTTAAACATTTATCTCTGTTTTTACAATGGTGGGATTCGTATTCTTTCATGCAACAGTAGTGGCAGTAAAAAAAATGAAAAAGAAAATATTTCAAAAGAATGAAGTTGTCAGGGAAGAGAGAGTTTGTTATATTGTATTTGCATACCATTTCCTTTCACCATCTGGTCCTAGCGTCATGTCCTAACACTTCCTCATCCCATTTTCACTCTATCCTACTCCAGTGGTTCTCAGTCTTGACTGCAAATCAGAACTGCAAGGCAACTTAAAAAAAAAAAAATTAATATAGAGACTCCACCCCAGATATACGTTGAATCATAATCTCTAGGAGTCAGGCCTGAACATGTTTTCCTTTTTTTGTTTAGTTTTAATCTCTATGTATGATTCAGATGCATAATTAAGTCTGAAAAAATAAAAACGCCCTATTCCCAAGCCACTCAAATAAAAGCTGTTCTTTAGAGGCCACATGATTTCATTCTTTACATTTGCAATTCCTCTACTTAGCAAAATACCCTCCTCTTTATATGCCTAACTGCTACTTTTTGTTCAAGGCTCTTCAAGCTCAAACATAATCTTCCCTGAATCCCCATCCCTCATCAAGCAAAATTAATAGCTTCTTTACATGTTGTTCATATATAAGAAGCCCTCTCATAGATGTAGTCTGGGCCCCTAGCCAAGCAATAAGTGGAAAAAATGGTTAAATATTGAATTGTACACTTTATAAGGATGAACTTTGTGGTATGTAAATTATATCTAAAAGAAGCTTTTTTGAAAGAAAAAAGGTCAGTTAAACCACAGAGTCATGAAAAAGTATAGCAAATACCTTAAACTGTATTCTAACCTAAAACAACTGTGTGTTCATTTGCCAATCTATTGAGAAGGTCCAAGACCTTTTCTTTGCATGTAGTCTACTGATTGGAATTCTGCATGCTATCTCTTGCATAAACCGTACCCATAAACCATCAGCTAAGATTTCCCAAGATTTTGTTCTTTTAAGGGGAAAATAACTTAAAGGTACTTGTGAAGCAATCTGAGAGCAGATTTATACTTTATAAATTTTTTTTTTTTTGAGATGGAATGTCGCTCTGTCACCAGGCTGGAGTACAGTGGTGCGATCTTGGCTCACTGCAACCTCCGCCGGGTTCAAGTGATTCTCCTGCCTTAGCCTCTTGAGTAGCTAGGATTACGGGCATGCACCACCACACCCGGCTAATTTTTGTATTTTTAGTAGAGATAGAGTTTCACCATGTTGGCCAGGATGGTCTCGAACTCCTGACCTCGTGATCCACCCACCTCAGCCTCCCAAAGTGCTGGGATTACAGGCATGAGCCACCACTATACTTTATAATCTTTTACAGTTAATCTCACATACCTTTGTTGGGTCTTTCCAAAATATTAAACATAGATTTTTAAAGAAACAATTTTCACACTCTTTCATTGGTTTATACAATGTAAAGTTACAAAAGCACAATATCAAGTACAACTGGCAAAAACAGATTTGCAAACACAAGTAAGTCATAAGATTGAACTAGTCAATTGATAGGACCAGAAATGGGCAGATTTACTAGATAACAGTTTCCTAGCATGATATGGGAATTAGTCACTTATGACTTACAAAGGAAATAGAGTGAGTTAACTGGTTAGAGGTTATGTGTAGACAGGCTAAGACATCAGCTACTGTACTTCTCCATTTTAATTGACTATGTGTCTTTCTACCTAGAGTGTTTTGAGGGCAGAGATGGTGCCTGGCTATTATGGGAAACTACTGAAGAACTTCCCAGACATTTTTATAATGCTATGTAAATCTTCTCATGAGAACAAGTATGATTTTAAAAAACAAAACAGTCATTTTTAAGCCATTTACACTAAGGTTTATGGATCTGTCCAGAAAAGGCCATGTAGCAGATGCAAATTTCCTTGCTAAAAGCTTCTGTTCATTTCCTAGGGCTACCATAACAAATTGGGACTAACTGGGTGACTAAAAACAACAAAAACTTGTTCTCTCACAGTTATAGAGGCCAGATAATGAAACTGAGGTGTTGACAGCACTTAGCTCTTCTGTTCACTGACGTCTTCTGTTGTCTGGTGACTTCAGGTGTTCTTTGCCTAGGGGCCTCAGTGACTTGGAGCTCCATGCCTCCATCATCAAATGGTCTTCTATGTGGGTCTGAGTCTCAAATAGACCTCTACCTTTCTCTTATAAGGATTCTTGTATAGAAATCAATGAAGATCAATCAAATGAGAACAAACAAAGGCTATTTATTCAGGCCTTGTAAGGGAGGGAGCCACGATCTCCTGCATTTTAGCAGAGCCAAAGGCAGGCAGAGGAGTGGGCATGCCCTAATTAGAGGCTCTCGGCATGAGGAAGCTGCAGGCAGGCCAACTAGAAGTGGAGCATTCTGTGGCTTCTTCTTGTTAGTCTCAACTTGGAAATGGGGACAAAAGTTAGGGAAGATGCCAGTTATTAATCCAGTACTGGTCATTTGGGCCAATTGTTATAGTTTGTCTCCTAGGATTGTTATTAGCAATAATGATATGACTTTCTACAAGTCTAATTTATGGACTGGTTACTGTAGATAATGGGTTGGTCTCCTGGGTTGCTTGCTGGAGGTTGTGGGTCAGAGTTCTGTTTTTACATATGGTCTGGCCATTGTCCATTGGCATATTCAGTCATCTACCCTAAAGCCAGGATGATCTCATCTCAAGATCTTTAACCCAGTTATATCTGCAAAACTCCTTTTTCAAAATAAGGTCACATTTGCAAGTTCTGGGAGTTAGGACATGGATATATCTTTGGATGTGTGCGAGGGCACCATTTAACCCACTATAAAGTTCCTCTTGGTTTAGAAATCATGTTTACTTATTTAGAGGGGGAGGAAAAAAAGACCTTGCCTCTTGCCTCTCTGAATGAGACAAGCAGGTGGGTTATAACTGGATTTCACCAAAGGTCTATATAACTTCTGTCCCAGAGGTAGAAATCTTTTTGAAACAGTTGCTTAGACATCCTTTAAAGCTTGGATTTGAGTTGCAGACCAACTCCTTTATGTCTGCACTCCAAAACAAGAGATGTTTTGGTAGTCCAGTACTGTCTATACATTCAGCAAAGCCCCTCCTTTGGTAGAAATCTAGAAGCAGTGTGGATAATGTATGAATGTTGCCTATATTATCTTGGATAGGGAGGTAAGGAACAGTACAAACCCTCTGGTTTCTTTCTTTTTCAGTGCCCAGAAACGCTAATCTCATTGCCTGACCAGAAAAGGAAGTAATCCCTAGTGTCAGCAGATTCAGCGGTATGGGTATATGATAGGTATACAGTTTATTTTTAATTATTCAATTAATTATTTTCGGATGACTCTGATGATGTTCTAACTTATCTTAAAAACGTATTTGAAAAGACAGTCTTGTCTCTAAAAGACTGTTTCCTTAATTTATGCAATTCTAATGAATTATCGGTAGATGGCAGTAATTTGTTTTCATTTTTCTTTTCATTGCACAATAGAAATCTGGGAAAAAACCCAAAACTTTTCCAATTTTACGGCATGAATTTTATGAATAGTTGGTTTAAATAAATATTATCCAAGAGTTCTTCAATTTATGTTGCTATAGAAATAGAGATCAAGAAGTACTAGTTACTTTATTTTTATTGTATAAATCAAATTTTCTTTATTCTTTTTTTTTTTTTTTTTTGAGGCGGAGTCTCGCTCTGTCGCCCAGGCTGGAGTGCAGTGGCGCGATCTCGGCTCACTGCAAGCTCCGCCTCCCGGGTTCCCGCCATTCTCCTGCCTCAGCCTCCCGAGTAGCTGGGACTACAGGCGCCGCCACCACGCCCGGCTAATTTTTTTGTATTTTTAGTGGAGACGGGGTTTCATTGTGTTAGCCAGGATGGTCTCGATCTCCTGACCTCGTGATCCGCCCGTCTCGGCCTCCCAAAGTGCTGGGATTACAGGCTTGAGCCACCGCGCCCGGCCAAATTTTCTTTATTCTTTAGGTTACTTTATCAAATACTTTAAGGAATACAAAAATGAATAAAACACTGTATTTGCCTTCCCGGTGCTTACAATCTAATGTGGAAAGATACTATAAAATAATGAAAATAATAAAAATAAAAATCTGTTGAGTATTCATTGTGGGACAGGAATCTGCTAAATGCTTAACATGCATTATTTCATTTAGTCTTCACAATCACCCTAATGAAGCAGGCACTAATATTGTTTCCATTTTATGGGTAAGGAGTCTGTGGCCCAGGTTGGAAATAATTTTCCTAATAAGTTAATAAGTAGTGTAATTTAGATTCAAAACTAGCTCTGTCTTACTTTAGACCTATACCTTTATTTAAAATGGCATAATAGAAATACTGAAACAATTCTTCTAAAAAGAGAAAGACCATATCTTCCCAGAAAGATCAAGAAAGACCTCCTAAAGAAAAAGCCATCTAAATGGAATTGAAAGATTGGCTGTGATGTTGACATGATCAGAATAGTGCTTTTGGAGCATCATTCTGTTAGAAAAGGGCAAATTGGAGTGGAGATAGACTATAATTAGACACCTGTTATATGCCAGGCACTTGTAGACCTCTGCCATCATGGAGCTTACATTAGTAGAAGGATATGGAGATGTCAGTGGTGATAGATGCTGTCAAGAAAAATGAGGCAGGGCAAGGAAACAGAGGGTGAAAGAGAGAGTTATCAGAGAAGGCTTCTCTACTAAGATAGTATTTCAAATTGGTAAGGAGTGATTGGATTCCAGTATAATTTAAAGGTAGAGCCAATAGGCTTTGCCAAAAGAACTGCATGCAGCTCGTAATGGAAAAACAGTGAAGGTTCTGGCTCATCTTTTGAGTAGGTCAATAGGGGCAGCACCCTTGGAGTGTTAAGGATTTCTCAAAGGGCCTATGAAACATCAACAATAAGATATCCTTTATTATTGCCTTGGGCAAGTCTAGTTGAATTGCCTTGGGCTCTATACCCTTGTAGAGACCTCCCTGCTAATGAATTCAGGGTTTTTGGCCTAAAGAACAAGAAAAATGAACTTATAATTTACCGAGATAGAGAAGACTGTGAAGGTGCAGGTTTAGTGGTGGTAATAGAGTGGACAGAGGAATCAAGAGTTCAGTTTGGGACATACTGAGTTGAAATGTCTATTAAAAATCCAAATGGAGATATCAGGTTAGCAATGAGTATGAGTCTGCATCTCAACAGGAATGTTCAGGGTAGAGATATAATTTGGGAATTGTCAGCCTACAGGTGGATTTTAAAGCCGTAGAACAAGATGGCATCACATGTAGAATAAGTATGAGAAAAGAAGGAAGCCTGAGGACTGAGCACTGGGAGGTATAACATAAGTAGAAAAGACGAGAAAGGACCAACAAAGGAAACCAAGAAGTATGGTGTTTCAAGAAGGCAGTTATTATCAAATGTGTTAAATGATGTCAATAAGTCAAGTAAAATGAAGACGGAACTTGTTCATTGAATGTGGCAATGTGGAGCTCACAGATACCGTGATAAAAATCTTAAAAGCATAGTGATAAATGACTGGTTCTAGTGGGTTCAAGAAGAAAGAGGAGAGGAAGTGGAGAGCAAGGATCTTGGCTTTAAAGGGGAGCAAAGAAATGGGTCAGTACTGAAGGAGGTTATGGTGTCAAGCAAGGGTGGTGGTGGTAGTGGTTGTTGATTTATGATGGGCTGTTAAGAATAATACGTTTGACCAAGTAAATAGGGAAATTCTATTGAGGGGCCATTCAAAGAAGTAATGTCTATGAGAAGGGAGTACAAAAGTAGAGGACTGGCCTTAGATAGGAGCAAGAACACTTTATTGCAAGAAAACAGTATGCTGGTATACCTGTGCAGGTACAAAATCTGGTAGATGGGTAATTTACCATCTTCTCTGATTTTTTTCTTCTATCTCAGTTAAATTAGAAGGTAAATTATCAACTCAAAGGAAGGGAAACGAGGTGTGGGAGGTTTGAAGACAGAGGATAAAGAGTGAAACAGTCATCTACATAACTTGGTGCATCTTAAGAGCCTAGGATCAAGGTCCCACTTGACATAAAATGGTCTTGAATTTAAAGTGAGTCAACAGCATAGTTGTATGTCTTTCTTTAAGCATATTCAGCTACTTGAGTATAAGCAAAGCAGCTGGTTGGGATTCTTCCAGGGAATTAGGACAGGGAGTGAGCTGTAAGGGAAATGAGGGTGAAAGCAAAGGAATCTAAGCGAAGTAAGGAGGGAAGAATATATGAAGGGTTGAGGGAATGTGTAAAGATACAAGAGTCGATGGACTGGAAGTCTTGCGGGGTTAAACAGCACATAATGTCAAAATACTAGATGGGATAAGCTAGAAAAATAAACAGTAGTTTGAATCTGAGATTATGGATGAGGTACAGTTATACTCTATGGGTTGCTGGGGAGAATAAATGAAAGAAGACCTCGAAACAACTGAGAGTTCAGGGTTTCAGATATACCATTTGTGTGGATATTGAAATTCCCAAGGAAATACGGGAGAGTAGTGATAGAGGAACAGTAAGTCAGATGCTATAATCTAGGAATGAGCCTTCCAAGACCTGGATGACAGCTGATAACAACAAGGAAAGATAAAGCCTATGTAGTCTATGGCCTGAATTTCAAAGAAACCAGAGAGGGTTTTAGAGAGAAGAAAAGGAAATATGGTGGCAGTGGAATGGAGAACAGAAAAAAAAAAAAATGTTTCATCTCCAGACTTAGTGGCTTGAGAATGAGGAAGCTGTGTCTTCGGACTTCAGTTAAAGCCAAAAGGTAAAAGGGAAGTTCACTGAAAAGGTTGACAATAGAAAGGACTTTGCGGAAGATGGCCCATGAATTTCAGAAGTCAAAGTGGAAGGATAGAAAAGGGTTGGGGAGTGGGTAATACAGCATCACACTAAGGGGCTTACCAAGCTGAATAAGGATGGGTTCTCATGATGAAGAATGCTGGCTTCTTCTGAAGACTGAAGTTAATAAGGAGGTAGAATTTAATGGGAATTATGCCCACAATATTTTAGGCAGCTTATGGAAATTGCACTGTGATTTGGGGGAGAGAGAAATGGGGACTCACCAGGAAGGTAAGTTACCTAACAGGAATTTACTGCTAGGTGAGAGCATGAAGAACTCATTGGATTACCTCTTCAGGCATGCAAATTGTCTCCTTAGGCCATTGGAGGCCTGTTGGAGCTGCAGCAGCTCTATAAATGCACTTTACCAGAATAGTTTCCCAAAGAAGAAATGTAGATGGTCGTAGTGGGAATAGAAAGAGTAAGTTGATGAAAGTGATGTTTTAGCATCATAGGAATACAAAATGTAGTGGACCCTTGAACAACACGGGTTTGAACTGTGCAGGTTCACTTACCCGTGGGTATTTTAAGCCAAACTCGGATCAAATATACAGTATATGCGGGACTTGAAATCCCCATGTAAGGAGGGCCAAGTTTTCATGTAAGTGGGTTCTGAAGCACTGACTTTGGGACTTGAATATTCACAGATTTTGATATGAAGTGGGGAAGGGGGTGACTTGGAACCAATCCCCTGCATATACTGTGGGATGACTCTAGTTTTATTCTGGAGTGATATATGGAAGACATAATTCTTCCCATAAAAAGTCATAATCTTGGTAGTCTATCATAGTCTAGCATTAAGAGCATGAACTTTGGAACCAAAATACTTGAATTCAAATCACATGTCTTACATTTAATGGCTCTCTTTGGATAAATCCTTATATCTATTTGTGTACCTCACTGTACTTTTTTTCGTAAAATGAAAATTGTAATAATATCTACCTTATAGGGTTAAATGAGTTACTATTTTTAAAGTTCTTTGAATACCATCTGGCACAGAATAAACACTATATAATTTTTTTTTTAATCTAAAGCAGTTGGAACAGCAGTGACTAGCACAAAGTAAGTATAAGTTTTTACCATTGTAATTAATTGAGAGAACTGACAGTATATACTGAAAGTATAGATGTAGAGGGCATGCATTTTTCAAGGTAGATATATTTAAGGATGAAGTCTGTGATGGTGAAACCCAAATGAAAGCGCTAGAGAGAAAATCAGGTTTGGATTCATTAGCACTAATCTGGGACAGTTCTGTGTGTTGAGCAAAAAGTATGTAACGTGAACGGAGTAAATGGCTCAGCTTCAGGGAAGACTTCATGAAGGAGTAGGTTTGAAGTGAGAGTTGAAGGAAGTGACATGAAGGAACAGGAAAGAATTATAAATTTCGAGGAATGGTTATGATAATCTGCTAGGTAAGCCCTCATAATTTCTTTAGCTTGGATGTATATTTCTAGATAGATTTGATCTCTACACAGGAAACGATTTAACTTTGCTTGTCTTTTTTGTTGCATATATATCAGGTTTCAATCCTTTAAATTTTTTTAGACACATGTAACTAGTACATGGATCTTTGTAGTTAATTGATCTTTAGAAAGGTATTTAGTGATTTAAGGAGAAAAATACTTATTCCTCCTATCGTTACTCCTAAATGAAGAGTAGATCAAAATTTGCTTTGGGCTTACTGTGTCCAGAATAGCACTGGACAGGAGTGCTATATTCCCTGGATTCCACACCCATAGCAGAAGTTGTTAATCATTGTTGATATCATTTCTCACAGATTCTGGTTATAGTCTCAGAATCTATTTCCTCATAGTACTGGAGTTACATACTATTAATACTAACCCAAAATAATTATGCAGTGTATATCAGGTACTATTCTAAGCATGCTATATATATTACTTTAATTATTAGAACAGCCTTATGAAGTTTTAAAGATGAGGTACTGAGGATCAAAGAAGTTAAGAAACTTACTCAAGGTCACAACAGTGGAAAAGCAGAAGAAGCAAAATTCAAATACAGTTCTTCTTTCATTCCAAAATCACTAAACCATTATATTCTAATTCTTGGTACTAATGGTGAAATGTCATTGACATCCCTGTGACATGTTTGACAATTAATTTACCTTTCAGGGTCACCAGTATACAACAGGAAAAAACAAAAGTGAAAGATTATCAATATAGATTATTGAGTAGGAGTAAAGAAGGTAAATCAAAAAGGGGAAAAGAGGAGATTACAGACACAGAAAATGTCAGACAACAAAGAAAGGAAGAGTCAAGGATTTCCTAAAAAAGGTAATGAAACAGTCTTAAGAAATGAATAATTAAAAGATCAGCAACAACAAAAAAAGTAGTCTGGTAGGATAATTGTGTTAAAATTGATAGCAAATTAGAATAGATGGAAGCAGTTACATTTAGCCGGGACAAACATATACAGTGTTTAAAAAAGGCATACTAACCTGAAAATACAGAATTATAATGAGAATGCATCAACTGTAATTGCTATAGAGCTGTTATGGTAGCACTATAATTATACTATATGTGCAAGTGGTCTGGATAAAAAAATTAGGACAATCAAAATATTTATACTGTTCCATAAAGGAACAGGTATAACATTGCAGTAGGCAACTTTGAATTGCCTATTATTTTTGCCTTTACTTTTGGTTTTGTTTATATCAGCAAGGGAAAATTCCTAATTCTAAATTTAGTTTAGAGGCAAAAGCATCAAATATTTAATGATTTTGCATAAAGAAACATAACTTTCTTAAAATAGCTGTATTTTAATTTTTATTATATACTTTATTCTTTTGTCTAATTGTAGATAACCAAGACACAAGTTCGTTAGCTGATGCTGTAGAGAAAGTTGCAAAGCAACAACAATCACAAGCATCAGAGATAGAAAAAAACAAAAAAGTTCTGTTCAGTTTGAAGGTAACTTCTTTATATAGTCTTTTAAATGTCTTTACTTTCTTTAAAAGTAAATGACCAGGAAGTTATTAAAAATACTTATTATTGGGAGTCACTTTTAAAGTTATTCTCTGTCAATTATTCTGTTCTCCCTAAGTAGAGTTTACTTAGGGAGAGTATTCCAGTTTTATGGAAAATTTTACACTCCCAACATATAAAGATTCAACAGTGTCATTGCAACTGTAGGATAAGCATATAAAACCTAACATGTTAGATAGAATTATTTTACATTCCCTTATTTGATAGTTTTTCCTAAAATGCTGAATTGAAGGAATGTTAAGTTTTAAGCCAGTGTTTGTAAAGCTATGAATTGTGAGTTATTTGTTGTCAGTGAACATTTCAAGTAGCCTCCCTCTATGTTCCTTTCCTTTTTAAATATATTTATAATCCTACTACAGGGAATATGGGAGCCATACTTGGTCTTCGCATGCAACATAATTAGATATAACTATGCTATGTGAATATGACTAAAGAAATGAAAATGAAAACAGTATCTTGTGCTCTGTAACGATTGTTATTAAATATATCATAGAAATGAGAAGAATAGGCTCAGGAGCTGAACCGCCTAGTTCAAATGGCCAGATTTACTACTTCTTGTTCCGTGATTGAATTTGTTGTGCTCCTGTTTCCTTAGTTGTAAAATAGAGATAACAATAGGACGTGCCCATAAGCTTTTCATGAGGATTAAATGAGTTAATGTGTTTGGTGGGGACCAGGTGGACATGGTACTGGTAGGGCCCTATTTGACATTGGCTTTAAGTATCATTGGCTTTAAGTGCATCAGCAGATACATGATGACAATAATTGTATTATGGTGATATGGATTTCTTATAAATATTTGTATTATGTTAGTCACTTCTAGAAAAGAATACAGCTATACAGTAGAATGTAATTCAAAAACTAATGTCATAGTTTTGTAAAGAAATTATTTTGTAAAACTTTTCAGTCTTCAAAGAGTTTCATAGACTTTATTCCATTTATATTGAGAGCCTACTTTGTGTTAAGCATTTTGCTGAACATTGTCTTCTCTCTCATGTTACTTACCATCTGTTGGGAAGACAAAGAAGTAAACAAATAATTACATGTAGAGTAGTAGTGTCAATGATAGAGGCATGAACGCAACACAGATTTAACACTAGAGAGAGAGTGATCCCAAAATAAATGATGTTTCAGTTGAGTTTTAAATGGCAGCTGGAGTTCATCTGAATGATTAGGTATCTAGGACAAGTTTAAAGGTTAGGGAGTAAGGAAGATAATATTCAAAATAAAAAGGACCTAAGGATATTCACAGAGGATATTTGCAGAGGCCTGAAATAGCATTGGTACATTCCTAGAACCATAAATAGTTTGATGGTAAAATAAATTACAGTACGTTTTGAAAAATCATGGAAGATATATACCACGATAAGAAACTTCAACTTTATTCTAAAGTTGATGAGAAGCATTTGACAGATTTTAAGCAAGAAGCAAATAATTAAATTTATATTTTAGAAAGAATTCTAGATACATAAAAAGCACTTATTATAATCCAATATCCATTCATGATAAAAACTCTCAGCTAATTGGAAATAAAAGGGAACTTCCTTAATCTAAGGAAGAACAGCTACATAAATTCTCTAACCAACCACATACTTAATGGTGAAATAATGAATGTTTTTCTCCTAAGATCAGGAACAAGACGAAGATGTCTCCTCTTACTTCTATTCAAGATGGTACTGGCAGTTCAAGCCCGTATAGCTATGCAAGTAAAAGAAAAAAACTCATTCCGTTCAGAAAGAAAGAAGTAAAGCTGTTTTTATTCACAGATGACATTATTTTTTATTTAAATAAAATCCCAAGGAAGCTATAAAAAGCTACTAGAACTAATAAGTGAGGTTAGAAAGATTGCAGGGCACAAGATTAATATACAAAACTATAGTGTATTTCTACACATTGGCAAGAGAAAATCAGAAATTAAAACTTCAAAAGCAATACTACTTACAATGCCAACAAAACTATTCAATACTTAGGGGCAAATTTGACAAAAGGTTTAAAGACCAGTATGCTGAACACTGTAAAACATTGGTGAGAAAAATTAAAGAAGGCTTAAATGTAGAGGTATGTCATTTTTATGAAACAGAAGACTCAGTATTGCTAATATGTTAGTTCTCTCAGTTTTATTTATACATGAAACGCAGTCCCAGTCAAAATTTCAGGAGGCTTTTGGGAGAGAAATACATAGGCTAATTCTAAAAGTCATATGGAAATGCAAAGGACTTAGAATATCCAAAACAATTTTGAAGAAGAAAAGTGTTGGAAATCTTACACTACCTGGGACATTTTCTAACACTAACAACCAATTTTCTGATTCTCTGGATGCCAACTGTGTGTCCAATGATTGGATTCTGTTCTGACACTACAACAGCTTTCCCTTATTTGCAGTTTTGCTTTTGCAGTTTCAGTTAGCCACAGTGAGCTGAATTCTAAAAGTATTAAATGGAAGATTACAGAAATAAACAATTTGTAAATTTAAAATTGCAAGTCATTCTGAGTAGCACGATGAAATCTCGCACTGTCCTGCTCCATCCTGCCTGGGACATGAGTCATCCTTTTGTCCAGCACATCTATGCCATATGAGCTACCCATTCTTTAGTCACTTAGTAGTCGTCTCAGTTATCAGATTGATTGTGGCAGTATCACAGTGCTTATGTTTAACTAAACCTTATTTTACTTAATGGCCCCAAAGTATCAGCGTAGTGATGCTGGCAATTCAGATATGTCAAAGAGGAGCTGTAAAGTACTTACTTTAAGTGAGAAGGTGAAAGTTCTCAACTTAAAGGAAAGAAAAATATCATACACTGAAGTTGCTAAGATCTATGGTAAGGACAAATCATTCATCTGTGAAGTTGTAAAGAAGGAAAAATAAATTCCTGGCTGGGCGTGGTGGCTCACTCCTGTAATCCCAGCACTTTGGGAGGCCGAGGCAGATGGATAACTTGAGGTCGGGAGTTCGAGACCAGCCTGGCCAATATGGTGAAACCCTGTCTCTACTAAAAATACAAAACAGCCAGGCATGGTGGTACACGCCTGTAATCCCAGCTACTTGGAAGGCTGAGGCTGGCCAATCACTTGAACCTGGGAGGCAGAGGTTGCAGTGAGCTGAGATCACACCACTGCACTCCAGCCTGGGCAACAGAACAAGACTCAGAGATTCCATCTCCAAAAACAAAAGAGAAAAAGAAATTCCTGTTAATTTTGCTGTTGCACCTCAGACTGCAGAAGTTGCGGACACAGTGTGTAATAGTGCTTAGTTAAGATGAAAAAGACATTAAATTTCTGGGTGGAAGACATGAACAGAAAACATGTTCCAAATAACGGCCACGTGTTGCTCCAGAAGGCACTAAGTCTATATGAAGACCTCAGCAAGGGATTTTCTGAAATAAGTGACACAAAGTAAGGGATGGTCACACAGATTCAGAAACAGGTTTGGACTGAAAAATATAAAAATTAAGGAGAGACCAAGTCTGCCAATAAAGAAGCTGCTGCCATTTGAGTACAGTACAATAAGATAGGAGAGAGAGACCACATTCACATAACTTATAGTATAGCATTATAATTATTCCGTTGTTATTATCTTATTGTGCCTGATTTATATGTTAAACTTTATCATAGGTATGTATGTATAGGAAAAAAAAACATAGTATATATAGAGTTCAGTACTGTCCATGGTTTCAGGCATCCACGGAGGTCTTGGAACATATTCCGCCTAGATAAGGAGGGACTACTGTATCTATCTGGAATTAGCATCAGCTCCCAGAAGATAAAGGGTTCAGTCCCATAAGACTGCCCCTGCTTCATGTGCCAGTCACAAGTCCCAGGCTACCCATACTTCTGACCAACTGGCTATAAAATCAGAGGTTCTCACCTTACCATTAACTAAGTTGGGTAACATAGGAGTATGATAATTTGCATTTTTGGTCCCAATTTTTCATCCATTAGTCTATCCGTACCCTTTGCCATATATTATAATGCTTTCCCATAATGGATGGACACACTTCCACCCCTTGACTCTGGGTTTGATTATGTGACTAGCTGGGGTGTTATCAGATATGACTCAAACAAAAGCTTTAAAAAACTCTTCCATAACTGAATTTCACTCTTCTGCATCTACTATTATCATGACATGCCTGGGTTGGCCCATTGGAGGAGAAGATACATATAAAGCAAAGCCAAGACACCCCTGTCAGCCCAGTTAAAGCCAATTTAAATCATCTTACAATCAGCCAATCCCCAGACACTTGGGCAGATTCAACCAAGATCAGCAGAACCACCTAGCCAACCCTTGCTTCTCCCAGGCTTATGAACTACCTAGACAACCTCAGCTGCTCCTAGTCATGTCAGCAGTATATACTTATGTATTATTGTATGCTACTGAGGTTTTGTAGTTCTGGCAACAGATAATTGATACAAGGAGTAATTGGCTGTGTTGTAGAAAGGATTCATTCAATTTTTGGATATGGTGAATTTGAGGTGGCCAGTGGCGGCTGGGTGTAGAACTCAGCAGCTACTTACATTCTGTGAATCATCAGCAGATATGTAGCTGAATATGTAAATTTGGATGAAATTACCCAAGGAGCACATATAGAGAGTGAGAAGAGGAAATTATGATGAAGACCTATATTTGAAGGAACTGTTGAGATTGAGAAGGAATTCTCAGAAATTTCTAAGGAGAACCGGAAAAGACTGGTGGTGTGAAAACTAGGCTTTAAAAAGAAGGCAGCAGTTAGGAATGCAAAATGACCCAGGGAGGCAAAGTAAATATCTTTATACTCATTTTACAAATGGAGAAAAGTGTAGTTTGAATGGGGTAACAAAGTTTGTTATGCATGATCATACAAACTAGTAAATAGCAATAAGGGTGTTAGAACCTAGATCTTTTGATTGTTAACTCAGGGCTTTATCATTTTTTATCATATTGTCTTTCCTGAGTGTGTACTTCTGATGCCTGTAAATAAATTAGTAAAATTATTATAAAGTATCTTACATATATAAAATGTCAAGATAAAACATGAGATAGAACATTAAAAAATATGTAACTGAGATCCCTTCTGAAATTATAAAATAGTGTTTATTGCATGTTTCCTTTTATTCATCAATTTTTAATATCTGATAAATATATTTTTATGAGTGATTTTTCCTATATTCATATGGATTAAAACATTGATTTTCCTCTCATGTTTAAAATTTTGAATAAATAATGATAATGTTAAAATATATTACAGAATGAACTTCATGAGCTTGAAAAACAAATAGCAGCTATCTCTGCAGAAACTAAAGGAACAGAAAGACAAATTTATCAACAAGATGCTGCCATACAGAATACCAAACTTCACTGTGATAGCCTGGAAACTCAAATCAAATCTTTACATACAGAAAATGTAAAGCTTAAATTTGACATAGAAACAGCCCAAGAAGATTTTGAGGAACACATGATAAAATATAATGCATATTATGCAAAAATAAAAGCACATAAAAATAGTTTGGGAGAAGTAGAAAGCAAATGGTCATTTATGACCGAACTCCATGAAAAACGAGATTTTGTTAAAAAATTAAAGACGATGAAAGAAGAACTTATGCAAGATCTTCAAAATCCAGGAGGGAACCGAATAACACAAGTACAGGTGTGGAAAATTACTTAGTAAAACTATTTTTTCTATAACTCCTTTTTTGCAAGTACATACATTAAATGGTAAATTTATTGTGAAGTTAATAAAATGCCCATAGCTGTTCTATTACATTCAGAAACTATTGTCACAATTGAAAAAAACTTGGAATAAGTACATGTGTTATATAACAACTACCTTAGATGCTCAAATGCGTAAAGGAAACATCCACAAATCCCCTGGATTTATAAAAATACATGGTCAGATAAAATCACAGTGAAGAATTAATCTATAATCCATTGTCCATTGTTGTAGAAAATGTAATTCACAAAAATGTTGAAGCCTTAGCTTCTATGCCAATGGATCCAGACCAATTCAAATCAATTTAGTACACTTAACGCTGTTATGCAAGCAATCTAAATTAATAATTGAACCTTAAGCATCTTACTATTTCTCTGTTATTTAAAGACGATAGAAGACACCAACTTAAAATATTGATCATTTCTTGCTAGAGAATTAAAAAGTGTCTTTTACACTGTTGTTGGGCAATTGCCACCATAAGTACCACTTTCCTTTTTGTCTTATTTCATTTGGTTTTTAGTTCTGTTTCAAATGTAAGGTTTCTTTACATTTTCTTTAAGTAACAGTTCTTTATTTTTGTATTCCTATAGAAGTAATATTCTAATGCTATTTATCAAAACTAAATTTTGATTTGGCTAGTTTTCTTAAATTAGAGAAACACTGAAATATTGGATTTATATTGATCATCCTTTTTTGACTTCTATATTTCAAATGTTGTCAACATACAGGAAGACATTACAAAGTTAAAGGATAAAATTTTAACTGTAAAAGAATCTATCATTGAGAAAACTTGTTTTCTTGAGGAAGAAAAAAAGACACATGAAAAATTAAGAAAAGAAATAGAGGTAAGTCTTAATTATCTAGATTTCAATGTTTTATGGGACCATTTTTTAAACTTACACTATATTCATATTTCCATATTTACTCTCAATACTCAAAACAGCTGAAGAATAAGAACTATAAAATTTAGTAAATACAAATCATCAATAGATAACTAGAGATAACCCCCTCATTCAAAGATGTTCAAATATGTGAATGTGTTCAAACAATGCAAGCATTCACTCCTGTTCAAATCTGGGCGAGGGTTCTTCCAGGTTGTTCTCATTCCACTAAGAACATGATACCCAATTAATGGCTAGAAAGCAGCTGTGTAGTCAAAGAGGCTGCCCATTCTTAGACATCAAGGACTCCTCAGAATAGAATAAAACACAATGGAAAGAATTGTCTTTCCAAACCTCTCTGACTTCCTATTCGCGGTTATCAAGAGACAAGTTAAAAAAAAAAAACAAACTGAAAATATGCAAAATTGAAAGTCAGAGTAAATTAAATTCTTAATGTGTTGTGGTGCCGCCTGTGGACTTCTATAGTCATTATTGTTTAGATGAATGGTGAACAGAAATGTAAAATAATATGCGATTAAGGGCAAATAATTTTCACCTGAATACATTAATTTGGAAAATAAAAGTATGCATGATTCAACTTGCTTTTGACTAATTTGACACAATACAAAGCATCTGAGGAAATTAAAGATAAAAACCCTCATCTTTACATATTCGCTATTAAAAAATATGATTTTACCTTATAGTTTACTAGGAATCTAAACAAATAATGGTTTTTTTTTGCCCTTGTAGACATTAAGGTTCATTATAAAGCAATAAATAGTAAGACAGTGTATTAGTGGTATAAAAGTAGAAAAAAATATTATTATTATTATTATTATTTTCTTTATTTTTGAGAAGGGATCTTGCTCTGTTGCCCAGACTGGAGTATGGTGGTGTGATCTCAGCTCACTGCAGCCTCGGCCTCCCAGGTTCCAGCCTTTCTCCTGTCTTAGCCTCCCAGGTAACTGGGATTACAGGCACGTACCACCACGCCTGGCTAATTTTTGTATTTTTAGTAGAGATGGGGTTTCACCATGTTGACCAGGCTGGTCCCAAACTCCTGACCTCAGGTGATCCGCCTGCCTCAGTCTCCCAAAGTGCTGATTTTACAGGTGTGAGCCACCACGCCCAGCCAGAAAAAAAATTATTAATGAAAAAAAGAATCCAGAAATTATGCATGCATGAATGGTAAAAACAAAATAGATTACCTTTATGGAAAAATAAAGAAAAATGTTGAAATAAAACTGGATTTCTACCTGATAATACACACATGAGCATGCACACACACACACACACACACACATACACACTTCTGAGTATTGAGTACAACATAGGAGAAAAACTTAACAATTTGTGTCAGAAAAGCATTTATTTTAAAAGAGAAAAACACTCCATAAATTCTGTGGTTAAATATCTTTAGTTTTGACTATGCCGTAAATTTTCAGATTATGGGAATACACCATAACAAGAGAAAGAACAAGACTCCATTCTAGATTATTATAACACATGTATGTGATAAGAAAGAGATAAGAAAATGTCAAATCAGTGAAACATTGGGCAAATGGTATAAAAAGACCATTTTTCTGAAACATGAATATCAGAAATAAAGAAAAATATGACCATCCTCATTAACAATAAGAGACTGATAATTAAAACCACAGTGAAGTTCCATGTTTAGCCCATCTGATTATCAGTATTACAGTTGGTAAGATGTTGAGCATAGGAATTTTAATACAGTATTCTTGTGAGTGTGAATTGCTAAAAGCACTTTGGAAAGAAATGTGAAATTACCTTGTAATTTTTTTACAGTAACATATTTTATTGAGGTATAATTGTCATAAGAGTAAGTACACAAATTATAAATGGATAGCTTGATTTATTTGGACTAATATGTACATATATTTATGTTGGTATTACCTAGATCAAGATATAGAACTTTCCCAGCATGTCCAGAAAGTTCTCTTCTACCCTTTTTATCAAATAGCCACTATTCTGATTTTTATAAACAGCTTCACTAAAATTCACATACCATACAGTTCACCAATTTTTGTCAGATATCCTGCAACAAAGTTTTAAAAATGAAAACAAATTATTCAGAGATTTTTTTTATTATTATTTAACTTTTTTTTTGAGACAGAGTCTCACTCCATCACCCTGGCTGGAGTGCAGTGGCGTGATCTCCGCTCACTGCAAGCTCTGCCTTCTGGATTCATGCCATTCCCCTGCCTCAGCCTCCCGAGTAGCTGGGACTACAGGCACCCACCACCACACCCCGCTAATTTTTTGTATTTTTAGTAGAGATGAGGTTTCACCATGTTAGCCAGGATGGTCTCGATCTCCTGACCTCGTGATCCGCCCACCTCGGCCTCCCAAAGTGCTGGGATTACAGGCATGAGCCACCGTGCCCGGCCTTAATTTAACTTTTAAGTTCAGAGGTACATGTGCAAGTTTGTTATATAGGTAAATTTCTGTCATAGTCTGTTGTACAGATTATTTCAATACCCAGGTATTAAGCCCAGTACCCATTAGTTATTTTTCCTGATCCTTTCCTTCCTCTCACCCTCCTGTGTATGTTATTTCTGATAGGCTCCAGTGTGTGTTGTTTCCCTCTATGTGTCCATGTGTTCTCATCATTTAGCTCCCACTTATAAGTGAGAACATCCAGTATTTGGTTTTCTGTTCCTGTATTAATTCATTAGGATAGTGGCCTCCAGCTCCATTCATGTTCCTGCAAAGGACATAATCTCATTCCTTTTTATGGCTGCATAGTATTTCATGGTGTATATGTACCACATTTTCTTTATCCAGACTACCATTGATGGGCATTTAGGTTGATTCCATGTCTTTGCTATTGTGAATATTGCTGCAATGCACTTACACATGTATGTGTCTTTTTGATAGAATGATTTATATTCCTTTGGGTATATAATCAGTAATGGGATTGCTGGGTTGAATGTTATTCTGTTTTTAAGTCTGAGGAATTGCCACACTGTCTTCCACAATAGTTGAACTAATTTACACTCCCACCAACAGTGTATTAGTGTTCTTTTTCTCTGCAACCTTGTTAGCATGGGTTTTTTGTTGTTGTTGTTGTTGTTGTTTTACTTTTTGATAATAGTGATGATGGTATCTCATTGTGGTTTTGATTTACATTTCCCTAATGATTCATGATGCTGAACATTTTTTTATATGATTGTTGTCCACATGTATGTCTTCTTTTGAAAAGCATCTGTTTATTTCCTTTGCCCACTTTTTAATGGGGTTGTTTGATTTTTTTCTCGTAAATTTTTTTAAGCTTCTTATAAATGCTGGATATTAGACCTTTGTCAGATGTATAGTTTGCAAAAATTTTCTCTCATTGTGTAGGTTTTCTGTTTACTCTGTTGATAGTTTATTTTGGTATGCAGAAGCTCTTTAGTTTAATTAGATCCCATTTGTCAACTTTTGCTTTTGTTGCAATTGCTTTTGGCATCTTCATCATGAAATATTTGCCCATTCCTATGTCCAGAATGGTATTGCCTAGGTTGTCTTCTAGGATTTTTTATAGTTTGGGTTTCATATTTAAGCCTTTAACCCATCTTGAGTTAATTTTTGTGTATGGTGTAAGGGAGGGGTACAGCTTCAATCTTCTGCACATGGCTAACCAGTAATCCCAGCACCATTTGTTGAATAAGGAGTCTTCCTCAGTGCTTGTTTTTGTCAGCTTTGTCAAAGATCAGATAGTAGTAGATGCATGGTCTTATTTCTGGGTTATCTATTCTGTTCCATTGGTCTATGTGTCTGTTTTTGTACCAGTACCATGCTGTTTTGGTTACTGTAGTCCTGTATTATAGTTTGAAGTCAGGTAGCATGATGCCTCCAGCTTTGTTCTTTTGGCTTAGAATTGCCTTGGCTATTTGGACTCCCTTTTGGTTCCATAGGAATTTAAAAATAGTTTTTTCTAGCCATGTGAAGAATGTCATTGGTAGTTTAATAGGAATAGCATCAAATCTATACATTGCTTTGGATAGTATGGCCATTTTAATGATATTGATTCTTCCTACCCATGAGCATGGAATGTTTTTCCATTTGTTTGTCATCTCTGATTTATTTGAGGAGTATTTTATAGTTCTACTTGTAAAGATCTTTTACCTCCCTCGTTAGCTGTATTCCTAGGGGTGTGTGTGGGGGGCAATTGTGAATGGGATTTGGCTCTCAGCTTGATTGGTGTTATATAGAAGTGCTAGTGATTTTTGCATATTGATTTTGTATCCTGAGACTTTGCTGAAGTTGTTTATCAGCTTAAGAAGCTTTTGGGCCAGGACTGTTGGGTTTTCTAGATATAGCATCATGTCGTCTGCAAACAGGGCTAGTTTGACTTCCTCTCTTCTTGTTTGTATATGTTTTATTTCTTTCTCTTGCCTGATTGCTCTGGCCAGGACTTCGAATACTATGTCAAGTAAGAGTAGTGAGAGAGGGGATCCTTGTCTTTTGCTGGTTTTCAAGAGGAATGCCTCTGGGTTTTGCCCATGGAGTATGATGTTGGCTGTAGATTTGTCATAGATGGCTCTTATTATTTTCAGGTATGTTCCTTCAATACTCAGTTTATTGAGAGTTTTTAACATGAATGGTTGTTAAATTGTATTGACAGCCTTTTCTGCATCTATTGAGATAATTCATGTTGTGTTTGTCTTCAGTTCTGTTTATATGATAAATCATATTTATTGATTTGCATATATTTAACCAAACTTGCATCCCAGGTATAACGCCTACTTGATGGTGATGGACAAGCTTTTTGATGTGCTTCTGGATTCAGTTTGACAGTATTTTGTTGAGGATTTTTGCATCAATGTTCATCAAGGATGTTGGACTGAAGTTTCCTTTTTGTTATGTCTCTTTCAGGTTTTGGTATCAGGATGATTTTGGCCTCATAGAATGAGTTAGGGAGGAGTCCCTCCTCCTCAATTTTTGGGAATAGTTTTGGCAGGAATAGTACCAGCTCTTCTTTGTACATCTGGTAGAATTCGGCTGTGAACCCATCTGGTACTGGGCTTTTTTCAGTTAGTAGGCTATTTATTACTGAATTAATTCCAGAGCTTGTTATTGGTCTGTTCAGGGATTCGATTTCTTCCTGGTTCAGTCTTGGGAGGGTGTATGTGTCTAGGAATTTATCCATTTCTTCTAGATTTCCTCATTTATGTGTATAGGGGTGTTCACAATATTCTCTTATGGTTATTTGTATTTCTGTGGGGTCAGTGGTAATATCCACCTTCTCATTTCTGATTAGGTTTATTTTGATCTTCTCTATTTTCTTCTTTATTAGTCTAGCTAAGAGTTTATCTGTTTTATTAATTTTTTCAAAAAGCCAGCTCTTAGATTCACTGATCTTTTTGAAGGGTTTTTTTGGTCTCAGTCTCCTTCAGCTTTGATTTTGGTTAGTGTCTTCTACTAGCTTTGGGCTTGGTTTGCTTTTGGTTCTCTAGTTCTTTTAGTCATGATGTTAGGTTGTTAAATTGAGATCTTTCTAACTTTTTGATGTGGGCAATTAATGCTATAAATTTCCCTCTTAATACTGCCCTTAGCTGTGTCCCAGAGATTCTGGTATCTTTGTTCTCATTAGTTTCAAATAACTTCTTGATTTCTGCCTTAATTTCATAATTTACTCAAAAATCATTCAGGAGCAGGTTATTCAATTTTCAATTTCCATGTAATTGTATGGTTTTGGGTGAATTTCTTAGTCTTCATTTCTAATTTGATTGTGCTGTAGTCCAAGAGATTGTTATGAATTCAGTTATTTCGCATTTGCTGTGGAATGTTTTATTTCTGATTATGTGATTGATTTTAGAATATGTGCCATGTGGCGATGAGAATAATGTATATTCTGCTGTTTTGGAATGGAGAGTTCTGTAGATGTCTGTCAGATTCTTTTGATCCCATGTTGAGTTCAGGTCCTGAATATCTTTATTTATTTTCTCTCTTGATGATCTGTCTAGTATTTTCAGTGGGGTGTTAGAATCTCCCACCATTATTGTGTGGGAGTCTAAGTCTCTTTGAAGGTCTCTAAGAACTTACTTTATGAATCTGGGTGCTCCTGTGTTGGGTGCGTATATATTTAGGATAGTTAGGTCTTATTGTTGAATTGAATCCTTTACCATTATGTAATGCCTTTCTTTGTCTTTTTAAAGCTTTGCTGTTTTAAAGTCTGTTTTGTGTGAAACTAGGATTGCAACACCTGATTTTTTTTTCTGTTTTTCCATTTGCTTAGTGGATTTTCCTCTATCCCTTTATTTTGAGTCTATGTGTGTCACTGCATGTGAGATGGGTCTCTTGAAGACAGCATACCAATGGATCTTAGTTCTTTATCCAGCTTGCCACTCTGTCCCTTTTAACTGGGGCATTTAGCCCATTTACATTCAAGGTTAGTATTGATATGTGTAGATTTGATCCTGTCATCATGATGGTAACTGGTTATTTTGCAGACTTGTTTATGTGGTTGCCTTATAGTGTAACTAGTCTGTGTACTTCAGTGTGTTTTTGTGGTGGCTGACTCTGGTGTTTCATTTCCATATTTAGTGCTTTCCTCAGGAGCTCTTGTAAGGGAGGTCTTGTGGTAATGAACTCCCTCAGCATTTGCTTATCTGAAAAGGATCTTATTTCTCCTTTGCTTATAAAGCTTAGTTTGGCTGGATATGAAATTCTGGGTTGGAATTTCTTTTCTGTAAAAGTTTTGAATATTGGTCCCCAGTCTCTTCTGCTTGTAGGGTTTCTGCTGAGAGGTCCACTGTTAGTCTGATGGGTATCCCTTTGTAGGTGATCTGACCTTTCTCACTAGCTGTCTATAACATTTTTCCCTTTCATTTCAACCTTGGAGAATCTGAAAATTATGTGTCTTGGGGATGATCTTCTTGTGAAGCGTCTTACTGGGGATCTCTGCACTTCCTGAATTTGAATGTCAGCCTCTCTAGGTAGGTTGGGGAAGTTCTCATAAATGATATCCTGAAATATGTTTTCCAAATTGGTTCCATTCTCCTCATCTCTTTCAAGGACTCTAATGAGTCATAGACTTGGTCTCTTTACATAATTAAATATTTCTCAGAGGTTTTGTTCTTTCCTTTTCATTATTTTTTTCTTTATTCTTGTCTGACTGTCTTATTTTAGAAAGCCAGTCTTCAATCTCAGAGATTCCTTCTTCTGTTTGGTCTATTCTGCTATTAATATTTGTGATAGCATTATGAAATTCTTGTAGTGTGTTTTTCAGCTCTATCAGGTCACTTCTTTTCTATACTGGCTATTTTGTCTGTCAGCTCCTGTATTGTTTTATCATGATTCTTGGCTTCCTTGGACTGGGTTTTAACATACTTCTGTAGCTTAATGACCTTCCTTCCCATACTCTGAATTCTATTTCTGTCATTTAAGCCATTTCAGCCCAGTTCAGAATCATTGCTGGGGACGTGATGTGGTCATTTGGAAGAAAGAAGGCACTTTGGCTTTTGGGGTTATCAGGGTTTTGTGCTGGTTCTTCCTCATCTTTATGGGCTTATGCTCCTTCAATCTTTGAGCTGCTGACCTTTGGATGGTTTTTTTTT